GAATCAAATTTTGTGTTTTTTAAATTTTCTTTAAAAAAGCGTATTCTGCCCAGGAAGAATTAACTATTACTTCGTTCAATATATGGTAAGAGAAGTTATATAGATGTTGAGAAATTATAATATGTGATTGATTATAAATCATGACAACTTGAATTCATATATTTGCACCAGGGCGGAATACAGAACAATAATAATTCATATTCTGACTTTTAATCATTACACTACATATTATTTAATATTATATTCAAATACAATAATCAAAATTTTTCTAATCATGGTTAATATTACACATAAAAAAGATATTGAAATATTCTCAGTTATTATTTGAATAATATTTACAAGGCAACAATAATATTGAACTGATTATGTAAATTAAGAGTGTGAGTTTAGATTCATCTTTTCTTCACCTAAACTCACCCACAAGCAACAACACACTTCATTCCATCGTAACAATTTTAATCGATGTGATGTATTGACATTGTCATTGAATTTTTTCATGTATACATATTTTTCTCTTTTCTATACTTGGTTCTTTCCCTTTTCTTTTAAATGATATATTATCTTTTCGTTCTACGGAATATTCGAATACGTTACTATATATATACATATATTTGATCGTTCTTGATATGTGTATATCCATCTTCATTACGTTTCCTCTATTCTACTCTCTTATTTTGCCTAGCTGAAATAAACTATTATTTCATCTTACATTTCTCTCCTTGATCCTACTTCACGACGTTACAATCGACGTCGAATAAAATGTCTCTCACTTTTCTTATACTACCGGTAGAGTTTGTCTACCGAATTTTGGATTATCAAAGTGACTTGACAATGCTGTGCTCAATGCGAAATGTCTGTCAACGGTTCAATACAATTCTTGAAAGTTATCACCGATATCAGGTAATTTATTTTTCTAATCATGATTGTCTATCTTTCTTTTATCTTCTCATCATTTCTTATTCTTGCAGTCCATAGGTCTAAGAAGATATCAATGAATAAAATAATGATAAGACATAGTGCTTCAGCAAGTATGAGTCTTCTCAAAAAAATCATTTACACAATCAAAGCATTATTATAGAAATGAGAAGATATGCATAAAAGCAACTCTTGTTTTCATTTATTTCTGAACAATTCAGTGCTCTTATATTATTTTTATTTAACCACGTGTGATATTTATAAGAGAAAAGAAGGAAGAAATTGCTTTGACAGAATTCATTTGATTTTATAACAAACCCATGATGTCATACACAAAATCTTTATTTTACTTATTACTATCACTAGAAGTCTTTTCATTTTCTCAATTATTCAATTTTTGGATCGCGCCCAAATCTCACTAACCCTAACTGCTCTCCTTATACCTTAACATTACAATTAAACATCATCTGATATGGCACTAAACTCAACATCTGTATTGTACTATTTCAGCTTTCAAGAAAACAAAACACAAAACAATTCGTTGACACATAACAAGCTAGTAGAGTCTCTCAGTTGACTCTATCGATTCAATATTATTGAATATAACCAGCCATGCTTCATCTTAAATTTCATCCATAATGAAATGATTGACTCCTTCTCTTCCATAGTATTTTCCTTCATTGTTTCGAGTTTCAGAGAAGTTTTACGAAAAAAAGAACAAACCCCACTTTCTTTTCTTTGTCCTTCCTCGCAAGATTTCAGTGAAGTTTAATAGGTAAAGATATAACTCTACATCTCTCTTTTCTATTCGACATGTCCATTTATATTATCTGTTACAGAGACTTACCACATTGGATCTCAGCTACAATGAAATCGGAGATATTGACGCACAATATCTTGCTAATGCAATAAGAACTAATACGGTAACTATGATTCTCTTCATAATCTATTTCATATATTCATCCGCATTATTTTATACAGCCGCTTACCACATTAAATCTCGGCTTCAATTCAATAGGAGATGCTGGAGCACAACATCTTGCGGATGCATTACAAAATAATACGGTAATTATCATTTTGTTACTCATCTATCTCATATATCCATCTTCACGTTTTTATACAGACGCTTATTACAGTAAATCTCTACTGCAATCAAATCGGATATATAGGAGCACAACATCTAGCAGATGCACTACGATATAATACGGTAACTATAATTTTGTTACTCATCTATCGCATATATCCATCTGCATGTTTTTCTGCAGATACTTACCACATTAGATCTTGGTGCCAATGAAATCGGAGCGGTTGGTGCACAACATCTAGCAGATGCATTACGAAATAATGCGGTAACTGTCATTATCTTCGTCATCTATTTCATATATTAATCTGAACTTTTTTATACAGACACTTACCACATTAAAGCTCAAGCACAATCGTATCGGATCTGTTGGTGCACAGCATCTGGTAGATGCATTAAAAAATAATACGGTAACTATCATTTTGTTACTTATCTATGTCATATATCTATCTTGATCTTTTATACAGACACTTACCGAATTGTGTCTTTCCGGCAATGAAATTGGAGTTATTAGAGCACTACATGTAGCAGATGCATTAAGAACTAACACGGTAACTAGCATTCTCTTCGCTGGCTATTTCATATAGTCATTTGCACTCTTTTATACAGACGCTTACCGAATTGAATCTCTCCAACAATCCAACTGGAGCCGCTGGAGCACAAAATCTAGCAGATGCATTACGAACGAATACGGTAGCTAGCATTGTATTATTATTCTATCTCATATCCATCTTCATTTTTTATAAAGACGCTTACCACATTAAGTCTCAAGGACAGTGAAATCGGAAATGCTGGTGCACAGTATATGGCGGATGCATTACAAAATAATACAGTAACTATCATCTTCTTCGGCATCTATTTCACATATCCATGCGCACGTTTTTATACAGGTGCTTACCACATTAAATCTCGATCAAAATCAAATCGGAGACATTGGAGCACAGCATCTCGCCAATGCATTAAAAACTAATACGGTAACTATCATCCTCTTCGTCATCTATTTCATACATTCGTCTGCACTTTTTTTTATGCAGGCGCTTATCACATTACATCTCAACGAGAATCAAATCGAAGACACTGGAGCACAGCATCTAGCGGGTGCATTACAAAATAATACGGTAACTATCATTCTCTTTGTGATCTATTTTACATATTCATCTGCACTTTTTTATACAGGCGCTTAGCACATTACATCTCAACGAGAATCAAATCGGAGCAGTTGGTGTACAGCATCTGGCGGATGCATTAAAAAATAATACGGTAACCATCATACTGATACTCATCTATTTCATATATCCATCCAGACTTTTTTATACAGACGCTTACCATATTAAGTCTCGATTATAGTGAAAGCGGAGATGTTGGTGCACGGCATCTGGGCGACGCATTACAAAACAATAGAGTAACTACCATTTTGTTACTCATCTATCTCATACATCCATCTGTACTTTTTTTTATACAGACGCTCACTACATTAAATCTCCGTTACAACAAAATTGGAGTGGTTGGTGCACAATATCTGGCAGATGCTTTACGAAATAATGTGGCAACTATCATTCTTTTCGTGATCTATATCATATGTTCATTTGAACTTTTTTATATAGATACTTATCACATTAGATCTCAACGACAATCTGATCGGAGCGATTGGTGCACAGCATCTGGCGGATGTATTACACAATAATACGGTAACCATCATTCTGTTACTCATATATCTCATATATCCATCTTGATTTTTTTTATATAGACGCTTACCACGTTAAAACTCAAATGGAATGGAATTGGAGATGTCGGAGCGCAGCATCTAGCGAATGCATTACAAAATAATAAGGTAAACATCATACTGATCCTCATCTATCTTATATATGCATCTTTACGTTTTTATACAGACGCTTACCACATTAGATGTCAGCCGGAATCAAATCGGAGTTACTGGTACATTGCATCTAGCGGATGCATTACGAAACAATACCGTAACCATCATTCTGTTACTCATCTATCGCATTTATCTATTCTCATTTTTTATACAGGCGCTTACCACATTAAAACTCAAAGGGAATGGAATTGGAGATGTCGGAGTACAGTATCTAGCGGGTGCATTGCAAAATAATACGGTAACCACCATTCTCTTTCTTATCTATTTCATATGTCTATCTATATTTTTTTACATAGGCGCTTACCACATTAAATCTCAGCTACAATTCAATAGGGGATGCTGGAGCACAACATCTTGCGGATGGATTACAAAATAATACCGTAACTCATTCCGTTACTGATCTGTGTTATATATCTATCTGCATTTTTTATTCAGACGCTTATCACATTAGATCTCGAGGAAAATGAAATCGAAGCTGCTGGAATACAGCATCTGGAGAATGCGTTACAAATTAATAAAGTAACTATCATTGTCTTCCGTAACTATCTTGTATATTCATCTACGCTTTTTTATACAGACGGTAACCATATTACATATTGGCATCAATGGGAAATAAGACAAACTCGAGAAGCAAATCAATAAATTGATTCAACAGAACATGAGATTCGCAAAATATGAAGTATTGATATCGATGATACACTGATCACTTGTAGATAATTATTGATGAATATCTCTGTAAGCTTCTTTTTCGGGTTTTATCGTAATAAAATATAAATATACTTTTTTTTGCAAAATTCAATAAGTTGATGCATTTGTTCAATTTGAATAAAAGTTTTTGAAAAATATTCAATGTTTCATTTGTTGGTTTTGCTACATCTGACCTATTCATTAATAATTGTTCAACTAAATGTATATATGAATTTATGTTTTCTAAGGGCAGATAATCAGAAAGTAAAGCGAGAGCAGTAGTTAAAATACATTATCTATAATAAGTGTAGCAGTTTAATCAAAATTTGATTTTAATAATAATTTGGAAATATTCGATGTTTACACGATCATTTTCAATCATAAACAAGAGTTCTAAACAGGCGTGAGGGTGTGGGTGTCTGCTCTTTCTGTTCACTCACACCCTCAAACTTGAGTTTTAAGCGTTAATATTGTTTTAACCTTGATAGTCACACCCGAACTTATTTTATTTCACATGACTCTCCTCTCAGTCTAAGGGGTAAAACTAGTTTTAATCTGATTTTCGCTACAAATAGTTTTATATGAAGTATATCCTTTGAAAGAGATATCATGTGTACCAGTCATTGGCGTTATATTATAGAAAGAAATGTATAGTCTGTAGTTTCCTCTAATTGTTTTAATCTATAGGTAATATTACATCATAATACAACAAATAATACATATATGTGGAAAAAATCATATTTGTGGCTCTATTTGATTATTGTTTATTCTTCGAAGACAAAATCGATCAAAATGAATTCTAAACAAAACATAAATCAATTGTTGGCGAAATCGTTTTGATACAGAAACATAGATGTAAAATGAAGCCTACAAAAATAGGAAAAACTATTGTTTTTATAGTGAGTTTTTTTAGCAAAATTGATATTTACCGCAAAATGCAAATAATTTATGATGATTAATATATTACTGATTAAATTCAGTTTTGCTAAAATAAGTGGATCATTTGGAGTATTATAAATAGCTCGAAATATACTTAGAGCGACTAATGGTGAAACAGGAATAATATCAAAAAAGACTTGTACGAGTACCATTGTTGTTAATTGTTTTTCTGATTCCTGACGAACTAATGGAACTGTTCTATAAGCTATGTTTTGGACATTTCGATATGCGAAAGTTCCAAATAAGATCATAATTGCCATAGGTATTATACACATAAGAACAGGTGAATAAAAAAAGTTGTAATATTTTTGGAAAGCAACACTAATGATGACGCAGTTAGATTGACCTGTTATTGGTGATACAATGTGAACGTAGTACATTAGAAATGGGATTCCATGAACAATCCAAAATATGATTGTTCCTATCACTATACAACGTGCTAGTTTAATATTATTCCATTGATGCCATCGAGGAATAGAGCAAGTTGCCATGAATTGATCAATAATTGCCAAACACATACATGAAAACGATGTTAATATACAAAACTGAACATAAAATGGACGAAATTTACAATAAAATATTGATCTATTTAACCAATTAATTCCAAATCCATTAATCATGATAAAAGTGAGATCTCCAATGAATAAGTGACAAATATTAGCAATTGACATAGCGATTAAATAAAATCCACATGAACTTTCTCGAAACGTTCGAAGACTAAGAAAGACCAATACATTCAATGAATTACCAATTACACCACTAACAAAGATAAAGAAACCCGTGTACATCACCGTTGTTTGCGAAGCAAAATTAAATGAGAAAAGAGTAGCATTTGACATTTTTCAAGTAAAACGTTTTATTGCTTTCGAATTTATCAATACAACGACGATCTGTCTCTATTTTATATACATAATGAATATAATATTTATCTTTTATACAAATAAAATCTCATTAATTTGTATAAACACTCTTTTATCTATCGGCATTTAGCTCTAGCAATTTAATAAAAGATAAACATGATAAAAGAAATAATGAAAAGGTACGGAAAATTTTTATTTTACTGGAGAGAATTTGACTGATATAGAATATTTGTTATAGAATTTTCTTTAATAACTCTGTCACCTGCGGCAAGATAAGACATCATGCAATAGAATGATGTCTTAGTGTCAAAGATATTTAATGATAATAATTGGTGGATTATAGAAGCATTCAATGTTTCG